ACAAGATTCTCATGTCACTGGGTGTGGCTTTTTCTTCCCACAGCTACAGGAGTGTGATGTTGGAGAAACAGAGGAAACTGGTGTCAAGAGTGAAGGTGTCCCCTCCTACAGCTACAGATTATAATGGTGCAGAACTAGCGTAACATGGTGTCACTGGTAAGGCTGTATCCATTTATAGCTACAGGAGTGTGATGTAGGAGAACTATATTAACCTGGTGTCACTGGGTGAGGCTGTCCCTCCCACAGCTACAGGAGTGTGATGCTGGAGAACTAGAGGAACCTTATGTCATGGGTGAGGCTGTCCACTCCCAGAGCTACAGGAGTGTGATGGTGGAGAACTATTGGAACCTGGTGTCAATGGGTGATGCTATTCTCTCCCACAGCTAAAGAAAAATGATTCTGGAGAACTAGAGTCACCTGATGTCATTGGGTGAGGCTGTCCCCTCCTACAGCTATAGGAGTGTGATGCAGGAGAACTAAAAGTACCTAGTGTCATGAGTGAGACTGCCAACTCCCAGATTACAGGAGTGTGATGGTGGAGAAATATAGAAAAATGGTGTCACTGGGTGAGGCTGTCCTTTCCCACAGCTACAGGAATGTGATGGTAGAGAACTATAGGATCTTGATATCAATGGATGAGGCTGTCCCCTCCCACATTCACAGGAGTGTGATGCTGAAGAACTACAAGAACCTGGTGTCACTGGGTGTGGCTATCTCCTCCCAAAGCCACAGGAGTGTGATGGTGCACAACAACAGAAATGTGATGTCACTGGTTGAGGCTGTCTCCCACAACAGCTACAGGAGTGTGATTCTGGAGAACTAGAGAAACTTGAAGTCACTGGGTGAGGCTGTCCCCTCCCATAGCTACAAGAATATGATGCTGGAGAACTACAGGAACCTAGTGTCATGAGTGAGTCTCTCCACTTCTAGAGCTACAGGAGTGATGGTGGAGAACTACAGGAACCTGATGTCACTTAGTGAGGCTGTCCCCTCCCACAGCTATATGGGTGTGATGTTGGAGAATTAGAGGAACCTGTGTCACTGGGGGAGGCTGCCCCTCCCACAGCTACAGGAGTGTGATTCAGGAGAACTAAAAGTACCTAGTGTCATGAGTGAGACTGCCAACTCCAAAGTTACAGGAGTTTAATGCTGGAAAACCATAGGAAACTGGTGTCACTGGATGAGGCTGTCTCCTCCCACAGGTACAGGAGTGTGATGTTGAAGATCTATAGGAACCTGGTGTCACTGTGTGAGGCTGTACCTTCCACAGCTACTGGAGTGTATTTCTGGAGATCTACAGGAACTTTGTGTCACTGGGTGAGGGTCTTTTCTCTCACAGCTACAGGAGTATGATGGTGGAGAAGCATAGGAACCTGGTGTCACTGTGTGACGCTGTCCCCTCCCACAGCTAAAGGAGTGTGATGCTGGAGAACTAGAGGAACCTGGTGTCACTGGATGAGGCTCTCCACTCCCACAGGCACAGGATTGTGATGCTGGAGAACTATAGTAACCGGGTGT